GCCTGGACCCGGCAGAGAGGCCCGAGGAGCAGCGTGAGGAGGGGAAACGGCCTGGACCCGGCAGAGAGGCCCGAGGAGCAGCGTGAGGAGGGGGGAGCAGTGTGAGGAGGGGAAACGGCCTGGACCCGGCAGAGAGGCCCGAGGAGCAGCGTGAGGAGGGGGGAGCAGTGTGAGGAGGGGGGAGCAGCGTGAGGAGGGGGGAGCAGTGTGAGGAGGGGAAATGGCCTGGACCCGGCAGAGAGGCCTGAGGAGCAGCGTGAGGAGGGGGGAGCAGTGTGAGGAGGGGAAATGGCCTGGACCCGGCAGAGAGGCCCCAGGAGCAGTGTGAGGAGAGGGGAGCAGTGTGAGGAGGGGGAGCAGTGTGAGGAGGGGGGAGCAGTGTGAGGAGGGGAATCAGCCTGGACCTGGCAGAGAGGCCCAAGGAGCAGCGTGAGGAGGGAGAACAGCCTGGACCCGGCAGAGAGGCCCGAGGAGCAGCGTGAGGAGGGGAAACGGCCTGGACCCGGCAGAGAGCAGTGTGAGGAGGGGGGAGCAGTGTGAGGAGGGGCGAGCAGTGTGAGGAGGGGGAAGCAGCCTGGACCCGGCAGAGAGGCCCTAGGAGCAGTGTGAGGAGGGGGGAGCAGCGTGAGGAGGGGAAACAGCCTGGACCCGGCAGAGAGGCCCGAGGAGCAGTGTGAGGAAGGGGGAGCAGTGTGAGGAGGGGGAAGCAGCCTGGACCCGGCAGAGAGGCCCAAGGAGCAGTGTGAGGAGAGGAAAGGCCTGGACCCGGCAGAGAGGCCCGGCTTTCCCACAGCCTATGTTCTGATGTAGGGCTCCAGCCAGTCACCCAATCAACAACCCAGTCACTGTGAAAGTGTCATGGGCATTACGCAGATAACTGCCTAGGATGGTGTGGAGTGACGGGAGGGCTGCTTTCGGTTGGGTAGCTAGGGAAGATGGCTTCAAAGTCACATTTAAGCCTCCTCACGTTGCTGAGAAGGGGCCAGTCGGATACAGCTCAGCAGAGAAGAGCTTCCCAGGCAGAGGTGCTGTTTCTGAAGACCTGAAGGTAGAAGTGGATTTGGTCTGTTTGAGCAACAGAGTGAGCCGTGAGTGGGAAGGGAAGGAGACAGTGGCGGAAGAGAAGGATGAGTGACAAACCAGGGCTCTGTAAAGCGGAGGGAGGGTTAGATTGCATTCTTAGGGTGCTGGGAAGTCACTGGAGAGTTTTAAGCTGGGCAAAGCCTTGATCTGATTTATTTATTGGAAATACCCCTCTGACAGCTGGTAGAGAGTGGACTATAGGAGGGTGAGAGCAGAGGGAACAGAGAAATGACAGTGCCATCCACAGTCCCAGATGAGAAGTGTTTAGACCAGGACAGCCACAGCAGAGGCAGAGAGGAGGCCAGTTTGGATCTGTGTGGGAGAGAGGGGCGACAGCCTTGCTGAAAGGCTTGCCACGAGAGTGAAGAAAAGAGAAGAATCAAGAATGACCCCGGCTTTTAACCTGAGCAACTGAGAAAGAGGACTGAGGGAGGAAGAGGTATGAAAGGGGACAGACGTCAGGAGTTGTAAGGTCTGAAAGGGTCATTCAACTTCCCATTGGAGGTGTTGGGTCAGATGCCACTAGATGTGTGGGCCTGAGATTCCAGAGGGACCCTATCAGTGTAGATACAGGTTAGGGAATTGTCCTCGGAGAGGTGGTATTTAAATCCTAGAAGGGGAGGGTAGACAGAGAAGAGAACGGGTGCACACAAGTCGCTGAGTGTCGCGTAGAGGTAGGTAATTAATGATGTGACAAAGCGGCCTCAGTGGCACGGTGGGGACAGAAGCCCCATGGGAGTGGGTTGATGAGAAAGTGGAGACAGTGACTATTGACAAATCTTGGGCTAGAAGGCAGAGGGGAAATTCTGATGGCACAGGGGCATGTGCTGATGGCTGAGTGGAAGTTTCCCAGGGCATCATAGCTCTAGGGCCCAGGAGCACTGTGGGTGCCAAACTGTCCTATCCAGTTCCCCTCTACGGGATGGGTGTGCCCATCCCCTGGCTGCTTTGCATGTTGGTGGCCCATGGCTCACAGGTGCCTCCCACCCTGCTCATCCCTGGAGAGGTGCCCTTGACTGACATAGCCCCCCTGCCCAAGAAATGACAAGCTCCTCTGCCAGGAGTGACCCTCAGCCAATGGCTGGCACAGGGATACAAAAGGCCACCTGCTTGCCTTAAAGACGGGGCATCTCTGTGTGCTCTCCAGGATCAGGCCATGGCTAGAGTTCACTTGATATGACATCCTTCATCACTTCTTTCCCCAGTCCTGTCTAGCTTTCCTTCTTTAATTTTTTTCTTGGATATTTCCACAATAAAATACCCCCCACCCCATTGCCTGGCTTAGGCTTTGCACCTAGAGAACCCATTCTAAGACTGGATGCCAGGGGACTCTAAGGTTGGAACTCAGGAATTAGGTCACTCACCACTGGCTGGCAAAAGGACCCCATCATAGCGGCAGGTAGAGTATTAGCAGTTGCTGGTATGTGTTAGCAGTGCAATTGCTAAGACTGTCACCTATGTAGAACTGAGGCAAGGCACAGGCAAAAGGGATATACTGGTTCATAGAACATCTTATATTTGAGAGGTTCTGAAGAAAGACTACTGATAGGAACAGTGGGATGGAGTGGCCGAATGCCCTTGAGGCTTTGAAGAGAGAAAGGCAGCACCAAGGGCAGCCAATCTCTAATTTAAAGCAAAGAAGAGTCAGCGTGCCTCCTTGGTGGCCTTAAAGAGACTCCCGTATGCAGCAGGAGGGCAGAACAAGCTGAAGACCAGACCCAGGCTTAATTGTTAGAGAAGCAGAATTCTGGAGCAGGCTGAATCTCAGGCCAGATGAGTCTCATATACCAAAGTCAGGGTGTAATAGGGAAGGACTGAGGCCCACCGTCTGGGATGGGAACAGAGAGAAATGTGTTGGAAGACTTTGAGCCTCCAGATTCCCCAAAACCTCTGGTTCTGCCAGAATGGCCTTTCCCCCTTTCTGGAAGACAGAAACCCCTTCTTGCTTGAAGAACACGCAGCTGCTTCAAATGAAGCAGGTATTCTACAAGAAGTTCCTGACTTCCTCAGCAGCTTTCCCATCCACAGATGCCCCATTTGTCCCTTCTTATCACTTAGACCAATAAGAGAGTCAAGGCTCAGCGTATCCCCCTAGGCAAGCGTTGGGTCTGCTAAGAGAGGAGAGGGATTTCTTCAGTGAGCTGAAGGATCTGACTAGTGTGTGTGGGGCACAGACCAGGGAGTGTGCTTGGGGGTGAATCCTGAGGGTGCTGGGCCAAGGGGGCCAGACTGGAAAGCCCTTCAGGGGAGAGTTTGTTAATATGGGGGCACCCACCAGTGATATGGGTTTTAATAATCTTGCTAGGGCCCCATAAGGCAATCCTTATGGCTGCTGAGTGGTTCCTAGAGGCTTGCTGAGAGTGATGGCCCACATGAAATGAAACAGATGTGTCAGAACTCCCTTGCAGATCATGGCAGAAGGGATCCAAAGGCTTAGGGAAATGGGCTAGAATGGATCCACTCTAAAATACCAGAAGACCAGAAGAATGTGCTTTTTGATTGGGCTGGACGACGCTCCATTCACCAGGGAGATAAAGGATGGTTGGTGAGAGGGTCCCAGCATGGATGAGCAGCTCAGCACAGCTGTCCTCGGGAGGCCGAGGCTGAGCTTGAATGTGCTGATGCAGAGCGGGGTGTCTGCGGAAGCCTACGGAAGCTGTCATGATTTGTGGGGAATCGTGAGCAGCAGTCCTTCTGAAGCCCAGAATAAGAAAAGAAATGGCACCAGTGCCACCATGAAATATTGGGCTGCAAATCCAACTGATGTGGTTAAAAAGTAAATCCATAAAAGGTTAAAAGAAAGCAAAACAAAACATTGATTATCTTCAAGTGATATGAATATATATATACAGAAAATCTGTGAAACTCTATGGACAAACCATTGGAAATAGTAAGAGAACCAAGCAAGATTGCTGAACCCAAGGTGGAAGGAGTTCTTTATACCAGCAACAAAACAACGTGTTTTAAAAGGCACCTTTATAATAGTGATGACAACAACAGAACAAGAGAAAACAATGGGCAAAATCTTTATCAGTTAAATGGCAAGATTTCATTGACAGACAAGAGAAGGTCTAAAATCACATGGACCTCAGATTAAGACAAATGAGCATCCCTGTCTCCATGTGTCGGTCGTTTCCCCGAGGGGTGGTCCCCTGAAGGACCTGGCTTTCTGTCAGGACTGACAGTTTTGTCTTACACGGGCCTGTGTGTTTGACACCTCTCCCCAGAGGCCAAGTCCCTGCCCTTTTCTTAGAGATTGGACCCTTCCCCTCTCGCCTACCTCTCTCTCTGTCAGATCAACTGGAGCATCAACCCATGCTTAGGACTCTGGTTTCCAATTCTTTCTTCGCTTTTGGCTAAAGAAGTTATAAACTCAGCTATGCATTCAGAGGCACGCTTGCCACATCCTATCCAGCATTCTAGATTTTATGGGCAGAGGCTTTTTAGGCTATCTGGTTGGCCTTGTTACCAACACTGAACACCTCCATCCTTTCTTTGTCTTTGTTCGAAGTATGCTGTTTTACTTTTCTAGATTGCATATTTGTAAAAATATTTTCCAATCTGATGGTGTCTGTTTTTCAGAGGATCATTCACATTGAGTGAACTGTTATAGTTTACACAGCATTCTACCTTATTCTGTATTTTTTATTCATTTTATTTTGTGGTTTCCCAATCATCCTTTTCCTTATTTTTGCTGGTTACTGTTTATTTTCCAGTTGTTATTCATTGCTTTTTAACCCCTTATTAAATTTGAGAGTTCAACTATCATTTTCCATTCCATTAACGATAATGTTCCATTTGTAAGTACTCAAATCCATATTTTCTTCATCACTATTAAATGATAACAAATACCAACCTTTTCCTCTATCAAGACACTCAGTTATCTGACCTTGCGCGTGGTGAAACATTAGGACATTTTTACTTCCTGACTTTTCTCTTCCCCAACTTGAATGATGCATTTGGACATTTTTACTGATGTCTCTCCATCTTAATACCCAGGTTTTGCTGAGAGAGTTTCGTACATTTATTCTAAGCTGTTATTAGAATTTATCTTTCAGTACATAGGTCTCTTTTATTTAAGATCCTTATTTCTTGGATTACTTATTTTCAGATGCTAATTTTCAATATATATGTACTTATATATAAAATATCTCTGAATGCATATAGGTACATACATATATGGATTTGCGTATATTTGTTGCTCACCACTTCCTTTTCTCCATCATCTTTTATTTGTGTTTGGATTTTTTTTTGAGAGTAAAGTCTTTCTTATATAGGTTCATAGGTGCTATAATCTCTGGACCATGCATTTCTACAAGTATCATTTTTGGCTTCTGGTGTCAGCAGCATGGCAGCAGCAGCAGCAGCAGGCAGTTTTTAACCCTCTTTCAAGGCATTAAGGTGAGAGGAGTCTCAGCTGACTTGCTCAGCTCTTCTTCAGCTCCCTGGAGGTCAGAGAGAACAGGCACAGTCCCGTGGGCTATTATTGTCTTCCCCTGGGGTTTACCTATCTCTGCACACTAAACTTTCTCCAGGAGCCACCAAGTGCCTCGTCTGGCCCTGGGACTTTTCCAACACATGTCCCTAAGCCAATGTGTTGCAGAGATTAAAAAAAAAAAAAAAAAAAAAAAGAGCCTCAGGTTAAATCATGAAAGTAGTAGAGATTACTTATGAGGACACAGAGCAAGGGAATGGGCAATGACTGAGAAGAGAATCCTGGGTTCACCAGTGTTTAAGGGGTAGGCAGAGAAAAGGGGGCCCAAGAAAGAGGAAGTGGTCAGTAAGGTCAAGTATAAGAGAAAGGTCACAGGCTGGGATGAAAATTGAGTTAACTTTTCATAGGAACTATACATTTCAACGACTCTGTCTCATTTACCAAATAAACAGGAAGGCCAATTTTCCCAGGGTTCCTTATTCTTACATTTCTCAGACTCCTTGGAGTATTTACATGAATTCCAGAATCGATCCTGGATATCTTCAATACTTGCTGGTAGGCATGGAAACTCAAGAGCCTGCATCCAGCCCAGAGGAGTCTGGGGTGGCGGACCTTGTGTCTCAAGATGTCTGCTGCTCCTGCTGCTGCTAGTGCCTTCATGGGGACAGACCACGTGTCCAGAGGTGGAAGGATGTAAGTGCCAGTGCTGTGCTCTGTAGGCCACGGGGAAAACTACACACTGCTTACGTAAAGTCCTAGCTCTGTCTGTGTGCTTGCTTTTGTTTCCTTTCAGGACACCCAGTTTCTAGAATCTCAAAGGGTAGGGAGGCTCTCTCCATTTTCTTCCCGTCTGCCTCCATATAATTTTTGGATTTGATTAGTTTAGTAGAGGGAATAACAGCCAAGTCCTAAATGCAAATGGATGTTCCTGGGAGGGAGAGGGGAGCAATGAATGACACCACATTGAATCAGTTGGGGTTTCAGCAGGAGACATATAATGGGAGGAAGATGTGTTTATAAAGGGATGTTTTCATAGGTGTGGGAGGGTGTAGGAAGACCATGTGAGTGGTGCCGGAACCCAGGGCAGTTAGTGGCTGGCCGTCAACCCCCTTAGGCCTGGAGGCAAGAAGGGAAGGAGAGGCTGCTATAATTGGGGAAGAGAAGAAGTCACATGGAGCGGGTCACCTTGTGAAGAGCAGTGACCAGGGCTACAGACAGCCCCAGATAACCTCACCAGTG